TGGAGAGAATATTAACCATGAAAGAAAGGCTATCGTCATCCTTTTTCTAGAAAGTGGAAAAAAGACTTTTGATAATACTATTAATCGTGAAATAACGCGGGTTATTTGATCCATCGCACTCACAGTTCTCAAGCACTGTAGAGGCTTGGGGATGGGATTAAGAGGTGTAATTACCTGTACTTAACATCATTAAAGTAGTAATGATAGCCCGCTGGGCATGTAAATGCCACTGTATTTGAACTAAATGCATCAATATGTTACATCTGGCCATAAATAGAAGATATTATTTATAATCAATAAACAAGAACTGAAAATAATGCTTTCAATGTCTAACAACTATTTTAAAATATCTTCGAAATTGTATATAGGCTGGTAGCTGCTTATGGTTTAATGACTTAGAGCTAGTTTGGATAAACGATATAAGCATTTATAAATATTTTTATACAAGTTGAGATAAAATTTTTTTTTATATATATAGTTTGTATTCCATTTCAAGAAACCATTTCGAAACTACCTATATTTTTTTTTTCAAATTTTAATTTGGCACCTATGTATTTTACTCCTTAGTTATATAATTAATATTATTTTATTAACATCATTAATCCTTATATAGACACTAAAAACACTAATAGAATAAAGTTATAAAAGCTAATGCTGCTAAAAAATAAAATTAAAATATTTAATTAAAAAAACACATAATATCAAATTAAAAATTTAAAAAAAAAGTATAATATGCTTTTATCAGTTGTCTCCAACAAATGTGTGGCTCTAAAGTACGCCAATAAGTCATTGGCCACCTTCCAAATAACGTACAATAGCATATCTCTGCAACTTGGGGCCACCCATTAAATATGTTGTGGCCTACTTCTCCGTGCCGGCCAACTGGACCACCCACACTTGCTTGAATTTCCCAAAAAAAAAAATCCAAAACAATCAGATTAAAAAAAAAAAAAATCATGTAACTCACTACCGCGCATTCTCGGATATCCCCTCCAGTCCCACAGGGTCCAGGTACAGGCACAATGACAAGTCGATTTAAACACCGGCCGTCAATTGAAAAGCTTGTTAAAATATGTTTGATTTTTATTTTGATATTAAATATAAAATTTTAATTTAATTTATTTTTTATATTTATTTATTTTTTTAAGATAGTCTTATAGTGATAGTAATTCTAGTCAATACACTTGATTAGTAAATATATTTTAAAAAAAACAACACCTATATATTACAAATAACTAATTTAACTAATTTCTTAAGAGACATTTGGTATTAGACAAAAGTGCTTTTATTTAACTTATTCAAATTAATTAACTAGTTTTTATATTAAAAATCAGTATGTATATTTATAAAAACTCAATTGTGGGTTTTTTTAAAATATAAATAGACTATTGTTCCATTTTAAAGAACTCATGGAGTGTTTGAATTACCCAATAAGTGTTTTTAAAAAAAATATTTTTTTATAAATTGAGATAAATTTTTTTACATATTTATTTCATATATCATAAAAACACTTTTAAAATTATAATTAAATCAACTTACATCTCTTATCACCGGAGCATTTTTTTTAAAGAAAACAACTCTTGTGATTCACATAACACCAACATTCTTATACTGTAATTATCTTTAAAAATTACTTTCACACTCTACAAAATAAAAATTATTTTCACTTAGAAAATAATTTTCATATTGTTAGATTACAAGAATTTAGTAAAATAAGTTAAACCAAACGCCCATGTTCCCAGCAACATATATTTATATATTCTGGAGCATAATCTTTCTCGTGTTGACTTTCTCCCTCCGTTGGGATTTCATGTACGGTTTACAGTGCACGCAACAAAAATTATTTAACTGGCATTACGTGCTCTTCCATGACAAGTTTAATCAGTAGTTGAAAATTAGATTTAAAAAATATATGTGAAAAATTTTTTGTCTTCATTTACATATAAAATATTTATTAAAATTGTTTTTAAGAATTAAGAGTAACTAACCATCCTTTTTAGGAGGTGTTTGGCAATTGCCAAGAACATTTTTTAAAAACACTTTTTTGTAAAACGAGATAAATTTTTTTATATATCTGTTTTGTAAATTATAAAAACACTTTTAAAGATTTATATCCAAACACTTTTTTAATTTCTAATTCAAAACATAGTCCCAGACACAGGCAGTAAGATGGCAGAAACCCATGTGCCAAAGAGGCTGACAAATAGTGAGGCACTCATGGTTACCGCGAGCCTTGCAAAGGAAGGGTCAATTTCAACCACGGTCCAACTGAACCGGGTCGGCGCCCCCTTCCTGAGGGACGCGGTAAAACGTAAAACGCCCCTATTCCATGAAGAACAAACTCTATTACAGAACGTTTGACACAATTTTCACCGCAAAAAAATTATGATTACGAATGTTTCTACTAGCGTCAATTTTTATGGTAAACTGTGAAAATCTTGGCCCCAGCCTACACGGTTAAAATGGTTCACGTGCGGCGGTGAATGATTAGTGAAAAGCCCATTCAACTCGACTCGGCGGTTTGGACATGTTGGACTAATAAATTGGTCTGAGTTGGAATTATTAAGTGCTGTCTCCTTCTTAAAGGGGCTTCTTCCTTCCTTCCTTCCTTATGACAACACCAACCAGGACGACCTCCTTTTGAATATATAAATATATATATCCCATAACGTTCTCTAAATTAATTAGTATTAGTAGAATTTTAAAAAGCAGATAAATTCCCTAGGTGTATAGTCCTCATTAAAAATTTATTATGAGGGTGAATGAGAATTTATATTAAAGACTAAATTAAAATTCTAAAACAAGTTTTATACTACTGCTTCCGGTTTTTAATATAAGACGTTTTTTTACTTTTATTTTAATCATAAATATAAGACCTCAATTCACTTTGTCTCTTATTTTTATGTATTTTTTTCAAGATGATCCTTATAACAATAATAGTTTCAGTCAATATACTTGATTAGCAAGAATATTTTAAGAAATAGAACACCTATTTATTACAAATAACTAACTTAACTTCTTTTTTTAATATATCAAATTAATCAATTAGCTTTTATAATTAATTATTTAAAATCTCTCTATATACGTGGGACTATGAATTTTTCCGATAAGAGTATGGGACTATGAATACTCTGGGGCTAACAAGGCAGCTAGTTTTTGCTGGTGAGGAGGGGAAAAAAAAAGGTAGCTAAAACCAGTGCACTGCATAAAACCAGCAAATCAAATCAAAATAAAAGTAAATATAGATGGTATAATTACGTCACTTATAAGTTAAATTTAGTAATTTAATATTTATGGGTTAAACTTTCAAATTATAAGACAACTACATGTAATGCATAAGTCAAGTTTATAAATACTCATTGCTGTTGCAATTCATATAATTCAAGACAAATAAATTTGTTAAGATTAGTTCATGATCTTGAAACTGTCATATACGTAAAAAAAAAAAAATTAAGTGCACTAAATTCTAACTAATATTAATCACATCTTGTGGTCACTTTTTTCACTGTAATTACTCAAAATCACCTGCATCTGCGGTGCTATAAAAAAAATATTACTCGTTTGATAAATTTTGTAAAATTATTAATACTGCCCCACATTAATTCCATCGTGGTAAGGTAAAGTCATGCGATCAGTGTAGGAAGGTAATTTAGTTACAATCTTAGAAAGAAAATGGAAATATCTTGCCGAATCTTTCATTTCATATATGAAATGTTAGCTCTCCTCCCACTGTATTGCAGTTTCGCCTAATCTTCAGCGCTTCAGAATAAATTAACACGGATATTTTTGAAAACGTGCTATAGATGTTATATCAGGAGCAACACAAAATTATGAAAACCAAAAACAGACCCGTAAATGAGAATGTATATAATATAAAATATTACTTCCACCATTAAATTTCACAATGGCGTGTTAACAATGTACTAACGATAAAAATGAAAAATAATTATGTGTTCATTATTGAAACCAAAAAGAGGACAGTTAACATGGGATACGAAACTTAATATAAGAGGAATTGTAGCGTGTCAAATTTTGGTTACATTCAACAGACGTGCATGCGTCTGTCAAAAACAAACTCCAGATTATTTAGAAAAAATCACAAAAAAAGATATTAAAAATTTAAAAAATGCATACAGGGATCTATTTATAAAAATTGTTGTCAAAATCCATATTAATATTAGAATAGGTTTTTATTTATAATTTTTTTTAATTTTTAAGATCTTTCTTTTGTGATTTTTACAATTATTTATTGTATTTTTTTTTCAACAGCAATAATGTTACGTACTTTTTCTACAAAAAAAAAAAAGAGTGAAAAGATATAACGTGACTTTATTATTTGAATTTAATGGGAGATGGACACACCAGACCAGTCAGTCATCTACACATCCTCTGGTGGAAACAGGCGTGGAGCAACGGAATTGTCCACCTCATTAATTTTAATGTTTTAAATATATTTTTATTGACTTATTTAGTGTGCATAATAAGATGAATATTGGGAAAGTAAATTTCCTTTTTTTTTTGTTTTTCTTAAAATAAAGAAAGGAGAACCCGTTCTGCAAGAGACAGAGCAGAACACTGCCAGCTGCCTGGCTCATTGAAGGATCCGGATCATGTCGGACGCGACTTAGTGTGTCAATTGCCTTATTTTCCTCCGTTCGATTGATCTGAAGGTTTGAAGGACCAGAGATTTTTCCTTCCTAAAACAACACCGCGCCCCTGGTCAACCTTCTAGAAAGAGGAAAACGCTTTTGCCCAACCTCCAGTGTAATAAAAATAAACCCTAATATTATTCAAATATTAATTTTTGTCTTTAATTTTAATGAGCCTGGGTTTTAAAATGAGAAATAAGATAGTACCAAGAACAAATGGGGATCAAGGTAAAGGAAAAGAAAAAAGAAGAAGAAGAACACATGGTGAAAAATGGCGGCTTCCATAAAATAGCCAGTCATTCGGACCAATCTGATGGAGGAGAACCAAGCAATTCACACACTCGCCATTTCTTGCATTTACATTGATCCGCCAAAAAAACAAACAGGGTACTGCAAGAAAAAATGAAAGAGCACGAGAAGCAAGGGCACGAGGGCAAATCCTGACTGAAAAGTTTATATTATAGATTAAAGTTCTTTGACTTTGTGTTCCTCTAATAAAAATTGAAGCTGATTTAATCTTATTTTTTTATTCATGCCCTCGGAATGGCCCTGTCGGTTTCCACAGGAATACGGATTCAAACAAAACGCTAAACGACAAGCATCGAAGCAAGCAGTCGTCCGACACTGTGCTATGTTGCGTACCTAAGGACGAAGTAAGAACCATTCCATCGGCCTCGACATGTGATGTGGAGGATACGAACTTGGACACGAAAAGTTCCAGCTAACCTCGCCAGTCGCCACTCCATTTTCCAAAACTCGGTCCCCAAGAATGCGCACTCATCGATCACCACCCTTACTTTAACCATAACCACGCTCTTTTCCGCTAATTAAACTCACGTAATAGTTAAACATCTATAATTTTATTGGCTTTGCGACTTTCCCATTTTATCATATCTTCGTCTGCCGTCTGAAAAGTTGAGAACTTGGAAAGAGAAAACAAGAAAGAGATTGAGCTCAACCCCAGCCGCTTGAGCTAGGCACACACTGTCTCGGTGACGCATAAAGCCAGACGGCCCCAGCGATTTCCGCCGGGATCTCTTTATTTGGGCTTTTTTTCCGGTTCAAGTTTTGTGGATGATTTGTTCGTCAATTTGACGGTTAGATCACAGGTCATTTGCCGGCGAGAGTTTTCTGGTGGGTATGATGTGGGTCTGACTTTCGTTTTGTTTTCTGAGCCGAGAAAGCTTTATTTTAAGGTATTGGCCTATTGGGTTTAATCATTGAGTTCTTTGGTTAATGTGAATTTTGGTCAGACACCCATAAGAGCTGTTAGGTGGTGGGTTAATGAGATAAAGGTGAGGGGAAAAAATTTCAGATTGACTGGTAGATGTAGAGAGGGAGAGCCAGAGAGAAGCTGAGATAGAGGAGAAACCCTAAGGAAAAAAAGGGAAGAATTAGAACTTCATTCCCAAAAGGTTGCTTTGCAACTCTGAGGTAAATCCCTAAGATTTTCCCTCTTTGTCCGCTAGATTGATTTCGTAGCAACCCAGAGAAATTTTCGGTCCCCATGCCAGTTGATTTGGATAATTCTTCAACAGCTTCAGGGGAAGCTAGCGTCTCTTCCTCTGGCAATCAGACTGCTCCTCCAAAGTCCACTGCTAAGAAGAAGAGAAATCTTCCTGGAATGCCAGGTAGGAACAAATAAACTATCTGTGATTTAAATATCTGTCCGTTACCTTTTCTTTAACTGAATCTTCGGTATTTGGGGATGATTCAGATCCAGACGCGGAGGTGATTGCACTGTCTCCGAAAACCCTTTTAGCGACGAACCGATTCGTGTGCGAAATCTGCAACAAAGGATTTCAAAGGGATCAGAATCTTCAACTACATCGACGGGGCCATAATCTGCCATGGAAGCTGAGGCAGAGGTCCAGCAAGGAGGTGAGGAAAAGAGTCTATGTCTGTCCCGAGCCAACCTGCGTTCATCATGATCCCTCCAGAGCTTTGGGTGATCTCACCGGAATAAAGAAGCATTTCTGTAGAAAACATGGTGAAAAGAAGTGGAAATGTGACAAGTGTTCAAAGAAATATGCGGTTCAGTCAGATTGGAAGGCTCACTCGAAAATTTGTGGCACCAGAGAGTACAAATGCGATTGTGGGACTTTGTTTTCAAGGTTTTTGGGGCTATCCTTGCTCTTATTCCTCTCTCTGTTTTCTGCCGTCACTTTTTGAGATTTGGGGTTTGTGAATCTTTTTCTATGGTTGGTTTTGATTTTTTGAAGGAGGGATAGCTTCATCACACACAGGGCATTCTGTGATGCGTTGGCAGAGGAGAGCGCAAGAAATCAGACTCAGCCTCAGACTCAAACCCAGACGCAAGCTCCTGAGAAGCCTAATTCAGAGTCAGACCCAAAAATGATGAGCGGCGATTCATCCCCTACAGTTCCTGCGCCGGCGCCGGCGCCACCGCCACCGCCGCCTCCCCCACCACCTACATCCCCGCCTCCTGCTCCTCAGTCGAATAGTGCCATCCCATCTACCTTGCGGACGAAAAATCCAGGTAGGTATAAACCGATTTTGGATAATATACGATCGTTTTGGTCCGCTTTCGTCTGATGTGATTTAGTTAAACCAGACAACAGAACATTTGTTGTTTGTTTCTCTCGAAAACCTTTGGAGTTTAGTAGTTTTTGTCTGTTATCGTCCTTTGTTTTCATCTGTATATCTATCATAACAGTGGAGTAGGTGATCTGAGATTCGGAAAGCTATTAAGTAACAAAAACGAACTGCCAAAATACGCTGTTCGGAACTGTGATCTAAACTATGCAATTGTTGACAAAGGAACTCAAAAGATTTAAAAGTTAAAAAGAGAAAAGCCTTGTTTTTGTGGGGAGAGGGGGAGTGGGTTTTTATTAAAGGAAACTATTATTTGTTCGTTTCTTCTGAACTTTAACATATAAAAAACAAAGGCTTAACCTTTTCCAAACTTGTACGTTCCCGGTGGCCGCTTTTGCTCCTCTCTTTTCTCTGTTGTTCATCAGTCGTAACTTTAATGTGGTTATGGTTTTTCAGAGATGCCAGAAAATCATTCACAGATCATAGAGGAACCACAGGCCACTACTGCACTAAATGGTAGCTGTAGCAGCAGTACTAGCTCAACCAGCAATGGCGGCACCAGCAGTACTGTATTTGCAAGTTTGTTTGCTTCCTCCACTGCATCCGGAAGCATGCAACCTCCTCAACCTCAAGCTCCTCCTGCATTTACTGACCTAATACGGGCCGTGGCTCGCCCAGATCGTCCTGCAGAGCTCTCAGGGCCTTCATCTTCAGAACCCATTTCTCTCTGCCTCTCCACTAGCAATGGGTCGTCAATCTTTGGAACAGGAGGGCAAGAACGTCGCCAGTATGCCCCACCACCACAGCCAACTATGTCCGCCACTGCCCTACTACAGAAAGCCGCCCAAATGGGTGCGGCAGCAACAAATGCTTCATTGCTTCGCGGGTTGGGTATAGTGTCATCGTCCTCGCCGCCTTCATCATTAAGCTTGCAAGATAACGTGCCATGGGGTCAGAGGCAAGTAGAGCCAGAGAATGCCTCTGTTCACGCAGGGCTTGGGCTTGGACTCCCATGTGATGGTGGATCTGGACTGAAGGAGTTGATGATGGGAACGCCCTCCATGTTCGGTCCAAAGCACACGACCCTAGACTTTCTGGGATTGGGGATGGCTGCTGGTGGTGGCACCCCTACCGGTGGCTTGTCAGCACTCATCACTTCTATTGGCGGTGGTCTGGATGTGTCTGCCACAGCAAGACCCTTTGGTGGCGGAGAGATTTCAGGTAAAGATATTGGGAGGAGCTCGTGACATTTTCTGTTTGTAATCTTCCTACAATCTGGGGTAAAGATAAGATGTGATGTGATATGCCCCAAAAGCTGGAAAGGACTGTGTTCATAGTAAATGAAAACGGCCAGATTACTAAGTACGGTGGATTGCGGATTTGTGCAAGCTTATATAAAAACCCGATTGTGTTTAAGTGTTTTTGCAACAATAGGGCATCTCTGATGATCAGGTCTACTCCATATGTATGATGGGCATCTGCAATTTTGGTCATTTTGTGAATGCCAATAATGAATCATTTGGTACATAGCTGTAGCTTTGTAGGCATAAAATCAGGAAACTTTGATGATGTTAGTTTCCGCCAAGTGTTGATTATTGTTGTCACAAGGTGGATTTGGACGTATGCCCATTGGCGGTAAGTGTTTTAATAATTATTTTGCTGGAGAATGCGCCCTGTCATCATCTAGTGTGATAGAGACTTTGTATAGCATTGAGCTTCTGTTGCCTTTTTTTCCTATTTCAATTTTCCCAGGGAAAGAGAAAAAGAAAGGCAAGACTGATGTGAGCTTTCTCCCTTCTCTGCATGTTTTGCTTCATCATCAATAAAGCTGTTAAAATGTTAATGGAGTCTTTGACCTGCAGTGTCTCCTGTGGAACACACAGCTTCGTTCTCTTGCCTTTAGCCTGATTCAGTGCACCAGGGATGTGTGCATCCAAAGTGCATTTAAGAATGATGATGATGATAAAAAAAAGTAGAGAACATTTAGTTCCTTCAATTGACGACACATTCCTTCATATTTGCTATACTCGAGTGCTAAAGAAAAATGAGGAATCTTTTTAAAATGATATAAAACGGGAAACTTTTGAACTTTTGAATGAAATCAGTCTGCACTCCATGTAATTCTGCGAAAATGACTAAATCCATGGGTCTGCAAATTAAAGGATCGAATGCGAGTTCAAATATCGATCCTAATAACTGGTCAGGGAGTTAACCACTGGCAGAAAAATTCGATGGGTGAATTCATCGAATATTATAATTAATTAACAGTTATATTTAGGTGCTATTCTTTTTTCCTTCTTGGTTATACTAATAGAATATTAAGCTATTCAATCGTGTGATAAGGTCATAATGGGGAGGAGGCCGGTGATCGTTGTTTTGTTCTCATAATAAAGTCATATTCAATCTCTTCTGCTTGTTGGTAAAAAAAAAAAAGGTCAAAAAAAAAATCTTCAGCGTTCCCTTTTTTCGCCGCTTTGATGGTTTGGTGTTAGAAAATGGTTTACCCTTTCACAAGTCTATCGTTCCTAATTTTAATAGCTATGGTTAAAGAATGAAAATGACAGTGAAATGGGAGGCATTTAATTGGTGCAATTATTAATATTAATTTTTCAACTTTAACCCGTGGTCTAATGGTTGAGAACAACGAGGCATACAATCGTTTTCAGTAACAGTTAAGTTTCCCCAATGATGCAATTCCATGTTGTATAACTATAAGGCAGCATTTGCCAGGATAAACATCGTTATTTTTTAACGTTTGGAGGTGGTAACCGGAAAATTGCACGGACCAGAGCTGGGAAAAGGGGAGATTGAAGAACAAAAGGAGAAGGGAAACAACCATGGTTGAACAGAGCATGCCGCCAAGGGAAAAATAAACAGGGATTGTGATGGGTGATGAACCTTGGAACGGGCATGCCCTTTATTCCAACCTCCTTATTCTTCATTTGACGTACAATAATAACTACTAATGTTTCATAGTCTAATTTCAACTGCTTGAACTTACCAATCCAGCTCTTTTTTTTTTTGGGGGGGGGGGGGGACAAAAAGGAAACATGATGTTATAGAGGGGAAGGCATTCTGGTGTGGGTAGCCACCAAATGAGTTGTATCTGACTGATGGATTTTTAATGCCACATGTGTTCACATAACAAGCAATATGAAAGGGAGAAGAATTTTGCATGGTCACGCCTCTTCTTTTCTTGTGTACTACTCCTACTTTTCTACTCGCACCATATCTGGTCGCAATCCCTCTTTCACCGGACTAAACTTAATTATAGTCCAACATTAGTAACGTGCCAACTTAAAATACCTCTGATATGTTGTGTTTTGTTAGGTCAGAGTATATCCATTTTACACTCACAGACAATATAGTTCCAACCTATGGCACTTCTCGACGCATCACGTGCAAAACCATACGTATAATTTTTTGTTCGGAGTTCTCATGTCGATTGTTGCGAAAGAAACAAAAGTGCGTATAATAATATTCACAAAGTGAATGGACTGCCTTTGCGGTTTGCACTACCCAGGATGTGGTCGATATTTTATTATTGTCGACGTGCCACTTCGATATTGACAAGAGCTTCTTTTTTCTTTGACGGGCATAAATGCTCACATGGCAAGTTGGGCTCCTTTTTGATGCGGTTGAGGCCTTAAAATAATCTCCCCATCCAACAAAACTTAAATAAAATATACTTAAATACAGAAAATATTGTAATTTATTGCACAGCGTCCTACTATTCCAATGGCTATATCTGATGCAAAGCGGTGCTTTGAAAACCGAATTAGTCATTAGTCTAGCTTGAAGATCAAATTTGTTTAAATATGCGTGGAATAATTCAAATAAATAATTTTAAACTATGTTTAAGATTAAGGAAATACAAACTTTTAGGATTTCATTGTGTTCATTAGATCATATTATAAGTAGAGTTAAAGTACATTCCCCCCCCCCCCCGACATTATTCCCAGACAAGTTATGGGAACACTAAAGAAGTTACACAGCGATGTAACATAAAAAAAAAGTATTGGATAAAGAAAAGTGTTTTGACTAGTATTAATAATTAACTCGATGTGGTAAAAAAAAATCATTAACTCGATTGTAGCTGTTGTAAAAAAGGAAACGTTCTATCAATTTTTAAAGATTATGTTATACACTGCTCAATCTTTTTTCAGATGCTCATAAATTTTCGGTGATGCTTTCAAATTAAAAATATCAAAGTTACACCAATAAGGGTTGGATCTAGTGAAAGGGGTTAGTTTCTCACAATGTGGCGAACCGAAGTTCAAATTTCCACTAGAAGAGGTGTTCATATTTAGTGCCTGACAATGCTTTGAATAGGGCTGCCTCTAATAGAAAAATACCTATGTTTAAACAAAACAAAAAAAATCAATGTTACGCCTTAAAATCATATCCATAGTCTACAAGAAATAACAATATTTCCAAATCGTTGCTCTTCTTTGCTTTGCATAGCATTTTAATATCATTTTGATCTTTATTATATACTACCTCCGGTCCTAATTATAAGAGCCAGTTGACTAATTTGAGGAGATTAAGAAAGTAAGTTGAGTTAGTTATTTGTCACAAATAGGTATTGTATTTCCTAAAATATCCTTACTAATCAAGTATATTGACTAGAATTATCATTATTAGAAGAGTTACTTTGGAAAAAAATATATAAATATGAGAGACAAAATAGATTGGGATCTTATATTTATGATCAAAATAAAAGTCAAACAGGATTTTATATTTAGGACCGGAGGTAATATATATAAAAAAAATACCGCACCTTGCTCCAGGCCCATTGTATTTTGGGCAATTGCGCCTCATATACTATTTGGGCTTCTTAGGCATTTGATGGGCTTATTCAGTGGGGGCCCAAAAAATGCTTTTATTTATTCTTCCCATGAAAAATAAATAATTGTAACTAACAAGAGTTAGTCTAGTTGACAAAGAGTCAGCTCATAACCCATAAGATCGTGAGTTCGAATCCCACTACTGATGTGAGGACTTTGTTGGTGGGCGATTTATAAATATATCTGTAAGTGCTCTTTGAGCCTGGAGGTATGTCTTGGTCCTGGTGAGCTCTCGGGACCCAACTCATATAAACTTTTTTTTACCAAAAAAAAAAATTGTAGATCCAGTGAATTTAATGATCAACTAGCGACATTCGGAAAAAAAACTTGATCGCAACTGAAATATGGATTCCAGCGTGTACATGTATTATTTTATTGAACTTAGTACAAATCTTCAGGAAAAATAGATCCATGATAATATTTCTTACTTAAAAAATTTTAATATCAAGAAAGGATAAAATAATCAAAATTAACACGGGTATAATTTTTAAAAAATAAAATATTTATATCGAGAAAGTATAAAATATTTTATGAATCATAGAAGAGTTGACAGTATGTCTTTTATTCTATGATAATAGAAAACATATTTCCTTAGTGTCCATTTATGGGACACGCTTTATTTACACGAGAGAAGTAGAAATTTTTTTAATAACTGAAATGATGTCCACTAAATATATCAGGATAAGGAAAGCCTCTCACATATCCCATTTTTCAAATCTCGTCTTAATGCACTGTGTGTAAGAGGAGGACAAAAAATGAGATAGTCATATCCGAAATGAATCGAGCTGTCAAAGGATCTTAATACGACTGTGTTCACCATTTTGCCCAGTTAAAACTGAACATATATTTCACGCAGTTCAGTGGCTACCACCTTTTATATCGGCTACAAAAGATTCCAAAATCTGGTGATTCGTCACAATCACGGCAGTCAGAATTTCAAGGAAACAATATTCCAATCCCATCTAACTTCTAAGCATACCATTGGTCAGAATTTCAGATTTTATTATGGATAAACATAATACATAGGAAAAATTGTAAATAAAGACCCCTTAATATGTAACATTATGATTTGGGACTCTAAATTTAAAAAATAAAAAATAAGGACCGGGTCTTATTTTTACAAATATGAAATGTAAGTGAAATGTCTAAAATGTCCTCAATCAAATTGTGATTTGGTTTATTAAAGTAAACTTGTCATTTCTTATAATCAATTTGTTACTTGGCATATCCTCAGCTAAGTTGTGATTTGATCTACTGAAGTTGTCATTCACTAAAGTGAACTCGTTATTTGGCTGATGGATATTTCAGACATTTTATCATGATTTCATATTTGTAAAAAGAAAGATCGGGTCCTTATTTATTATTTTTTAAATTTACAATCCCAAATTATAATTTTATATATTAGGAGGTCTTTATTTGTATTATTTTCCTAATACATGTCAATTTTCCAACCAACAGAAGAAGGAGGAGGGCTTTGAAGTTTGTCAATGCGTACTCCATGAGGGGACAGGCCAAGAGAAGGAAATGTTTTTGAGAATCGAATTATTGTATTTTTTACGGTGGAAATGGGAATTATATCCCGATAAATGATAATGGGACAATTGGGCGGCACACACGACGCGAGACACGAAGGAAATAGCGACGTAGGCACCATTCAATTGAAACTTGAAACTCTTATCTCCCTCCCATTTTTTCGTTTCGGCGTCTGTGGACCTAGCGAGGTGCAGGAGATTAAGAAGATCCAGTTCTGCCTATCTTCGAAGCTTTCTTCCGAAAATTCCCTCTTCTGCTCTATTTATAGCGCGTTTCCTCACTTCCTTATCTGGTAAGCCTACTCATCACTCTTCAAATTCCCTCTCAAATCCTCTCCTCCACTGTTCTTGCATAAAGTTGCTTTCTTCCCTCATTAGCTTCTTTTTATTTGATGCTACTCATTACTTATTTCCCTCTTGATACATTGCGTTTTTCTTTATCCATCTTGCTTTTTATTTATGAGAATTTCGCTTCCATAAACAGCAGTCGGTGTAGGAATTATGAAGTGATTTTATCGGGCACAATACATTATAAATGAAACAGTGCCATTTCAAAATTACGCGGATAGAAATTGAAAGGAAAGGAATTGTAGTAGATTCTTAGCTTAGCTGAACTCTCGAAACTTTTGCCCCCCGTGGGCAATGAATTCTTGGAAACTAACTCTAAATAAATCCAAATACTTGGCACTTTTTCCTCTCCAAGAATGGTGAAATCCTATTAAAGTACTAGCATCACAAGTTCAAGTTCAAATCCTATAAAATACCAATGAATTAACATCAATTTTCATTGGTCTTGACAATTAATAAAATTTAAATTCTCCCAAAAATAGGTCAGAACACTTATATATTTTTCCTCTTTTTCCTGAATTGGACGATTGAAATTCTCCTGGTAAGGCCTGGTGGGGAGTTTCCGACTTGGGAAGGGAAAGATAGAATGAAAGACATTGCGGTCTAAGTAACACACAAGGTTTGGAGAGAAACTGAATTAAGAAAAACTTTACACAAGGAAAAAGATGACTCCTGGCATTCTCTCAGCCTAAATGCTACCTTTTACTATTGTATTCAAAAAGCAATAAGTTGGCATCAAGCGGTGCTAGGATCGTTGTGCAGAAATTCAGCCTTTTCTCTTTTCTTACTACATTCACCTTCATTCTTATCAGACATTACTTGCTGTCCTTCAAGAGAATCAATGGCTGCTTCAACTTCCAAAGCTTTCTTGGGTGATATCTACGTGGATGATATCGCCACAAGTTGCAGCAGTGCACTGGACATCGTCACAAAGCATACTGGTGTTTACTTCAAAGACAGAAGCCGTAAAGGTTGCCTGCGAGCTAATGTCGATATTAGAAGGCCAGAACCGTTGTATCGTCCTCTAAGTTCTCGATATTCTGTTTTTCATGCTAATTGGAGGAAGCAGAACTCTAGCTTGCGTCATGGGCCATGGCTGAAGAATTTCTCTGTTACCTCTCCTGCTTGCTTCTCAGCAGGGCCGGCACAAGAAGTGTCATGTGATGGCAGCACTCCTGATGACCAGCTTGCAAATTCTTCCCTTTCTCTTGAGCAGTATGTGATCTTTTACTCTTTACTTTTTGCTGACTCTTTAAGTGATTTTCCATGGGAGTGCAACATGCTTTATGTTAAATTGTGACCAGTTAAATGCGTGGCTTCGTCAATGAAGGAAGAATGCTGTGATTATCCCCCCCCCCCCCCCCCAAAAAAAAAAAAGAAACACACACACACACAAAGGCACTGTCAAAACTGACATGTTCTGAGAGATTTTACTTTCAGACCCATTGGAAGAGAGAGGACCTTGAAGCTGGTTTCAGGATCATGCTACCTACCTCATCCAGCTAAGGAGGAGACGGGTGGAGAGGATGCTCATTTTATTTGTTCAGACAGACAAGCAATCGGTGTTGCAGATGGTGTAGGAGGCTGGGCAGATGTTGGAGTTAATGCAGGAATTTTTGCCCGTGAACTTATGTCTAATTCAGTAAGAGCAATTCAGGAGGAACCACAAGGTTCTATCAATCCGTTGAGGGTGTTGGAGAGGGCTCACTCAAGTACAAAGGCCAAGGGTTCATCAACAGCTTGTATCATTGCCCTTACTGAGGAGGTTTGATTTTATATATACATGTGTGTGTGTGTGTGTTTGCATACGCTTTCACAAGCCGTATGTTCTCCATTTTTTTCTTGAACAAATTAACGAGACTACAAATGGGGAGGAATGAGAGCATTTTTAGCTTTTTTATACTAGAGATAAAAAATGAACCCAAGAACAATATGCATGCATGAAGAAAGCAAAATTTTTTTAGAGTAACAACAGAAGCATAATGGAACTAATACAGGGCGAGCATAAAAAGAGAATGACTGCATACGCATAATCTAATATGCTTAATTTCTCAAGATTGATTAATCATGTTGAGTCTGCGTCTTGACTGACTGAAGAGCATTTATTCCGGCGTTCCATCAGATTATATTTACAAGTAAACTGGGGCAGTGTCTTTTCTTGAGTTAAAAGAGTAACATCAGCTGATTTATTCTTATCATGTTTGGCTTCATGGTCCAGGGACTACATGCTATTAATCTGGGTGACAGTGGATTCGTTGTGGTTAGAGATGGACACACCATTTTCAAGTCCCAATTTCAACAGCATGGCTTTAATTTTACATATCAATTGGAGAGTGGCAATGGAGGCGATCTACCTAGCTCTGGCGAGGTAAACTCACCGGCTAGCATCACTCTTGAGATTCACCTTTTGTTGGCTTGACTTCTGTACTATTTTTAGGGAGTATTGTACACATTACCGATACAAATTTTCATTGCATTATTTCCATGGCACGGGCCGCTGTCATTATGGAGCACAGTAACCCAACTCTTTGACCAATGTCATGGTTAGTAGTTAATATATGGAGGAAACCGAGGAAAAAAATTTGGCATGTAAGATGATAGTCTTTTGGATAAGAATTTTTCTTTTGGAGGCTAGTCTGTGTCTGGTGGGACGGGTGGAAACTAGAGAGAGGAGTGACATTGTAAGACATTTCAATTGATAGAAGTAAGGTGCATCTCATTTATAATTATCCCTCGCTACCACCGTTCCAAGTACGTATGAGATGATTATTATTTCAAATCTCAAATGAGCTCTAGTCTTTTTCGCCCAGTATAGTTTCCCCCGTACAGAACAGACCCTTAAGATACCGTCTGAGGAGCTCTGGTTTGCTCCCAGGAACTATGATCCTACGGTTATCCCCTAAGAGGCCCTGCAGCGAGATGAAGCTTATGTCTTCCTAAAATTTGGGGAATATTTGACACTGAACTTAGCATATCTTCTGCAATAATGTATCCAGGTTTTTACGATCCCTGTTGCCCCGGGAGATGTTGTCATTGCTGGTACCGATGGACTGTTTGACAATTTGTACTACAATGAGATTACTGGGATTGTTGTAGAGGCAGTAAGGGACAGGCTAGAACCCCAAATTGCTGCTCAGAAGATAGCAGCACTAGCTCGTCACAGGGCACTGGACCAGAATCGGCAGACACCATTTTCGGCTGCCGCTCAAGAGGCTGGGTTCCGCTATTATGGTGGCAAGCTTGATGACATTACAGTTGTTGTATCGTACATAACAGAGCACAATTAGTGCGTGAGTATATCTCTAATCCTTACTTTTACCTTAGCCTGTATAGTCATATATGTTTAGTTGCTATTCAGCTAGCCCAGTCCAACATTAGTTTCCCCTTTTGACCTGCATGGTCCTCTCTACTTGTATTTTTTCACTTGAATTGGAGTTGCTAGTGTTGAACATGAACAATTTTGTTGTTTAATTTCTTGAAAGGCCGTTACGTTTCATGCCCTTCTCTGATCCCGCCGCATGCTAGAAAAACTGCAACGGAAGCTTAGTTATACTATTATGCACTAATTTCCTGTGGGCAAGTAAGCAGACTGCCTAAACTAGATACTGGATCCCGTGCGTCTGACTATATCCAGAGTAAAACTTTTTTGACACAGGCCAAGGAGCTAGGTAGTTGATAGACTTGAAGGGGATAAAAGTTTTCTAATCTTTTTCAGGTACCTCATTTTTGCAGACGTCTTGAGTATTTGATTTGAAAAGAAGCTGAACATCTATATTCCATTACGTTGACATGTTACTAAATTGAAGGAAAATATAATTTTTAGTTCTCAAACTCTCCCCTCATTATCCATTTAGTTTGTGAACTTTGATTTTTTTAGGATATGTATCATTCTATTAGAGATATCGTCGGGTACTAATTGTAAGTGCTTTTTTTAATAGGCATTCGAATATTGATTTGATATATTGTGAGTAATTAGCCTTTTCTGCTAAATTCAACCCCGTTAGTGTGAACTTTGATTTATTATGACTGAATCATAATTTTATCGAGTCAAGTAACAATAGGGATTGAGTTTTGAGTTAAGAAAATATAAAAAATACAAGGAATGAGTTGTTTTGAGTTTAAAAGTTAAATCAATCGCCGAGAAAAGATATTCTTTCCCTTTAATTTTGTTAAGTAATATTAATTTATTTTTGACATTTGAGTTATCGCTTGTAATTCCTATCCTAGTATGTCTATATCCTTAATAAAAGAATATTTCGAAACACTAATAATAAATTTAAAGAATCATTTTGAAATGTTTAATAATAAATACCCCACATACTAAAAGGTAAAAAAATAATTAAAACAAATGAATTTGAGGAACAAGTTGACCCCAAAAAAAATTACTGTTAAATTTTAATCATCTTAGTGAACAAACTAGTATAAATTTCTTAGTTTCCTTAGAATTTTGAGGATTTACGAAATGCGTGTACTCTCAAATATATAATGAACGTCAGTCAGTATTACTTATTTGGACACCAAAAATCAAGAAATCTTGCATTTATATGTTAGACTATGTCTATCTTTTATAATCCCCTGAAATCTCGTTGTTTTTCATGCTCTACTATGACTCGCATCACATGCCATGACCCTAAATAAAAATGAAATAGACAGTTAATATCAATAGAAAAGAAGCGGTATAAACCGCACAGTTAATTCTTCTATTACTTGCAATGCATGAAACCACCCAAACCTAGTAATAACAATATATGATGCATTTATCTCAGCTTCATTTTTTATTTATTTTTTTATCTTGCTCTTGTTAACCTTCCTGCTTCTCCATCTTCTTGCTGTCTTCTAGCTTGTTTATGTTCCTTTTATGCTTCTTTTTTTATACCTCCTTTTTCTTTCTTCATGGTCCTTTCTAGCGTGCTTATGCTCCTTTTTTGCTTTCACTTGTTGCTGTCCCATAGCTTGCTCTTGCTCCTCTTTTGCTTCTTGACGATGCCTTCTTTCTTCTTCCTCTCTGACTTGCTTTTGCTTCTTGCTGGCTCCTAGCTTATGTTGCTCCTCTTCTACATCTTATTGTTGACGCTTCTTTTCCCTTCCTTCTTGTTCCTTTCTACCTCACTTTTGCTCCCTTTTTTTCTTCTTCTTATTGTCTCTTAATTTGCTCTTGCAGTACCTCTTGTTCTTCTTCCTGTTGCTGCCTTCTTTCCTTTTTCTTCTTCTTCCTTTCTAGCTTGTCCTTGCTCCTATTCTGCCTTTTCTTCTTACTGTCTGCTAGATTGTTCTTTCCCCAACTCCTCCTCTTGTTGACGCTTTCTTTCTCTTTCTTCTTGTTCTTTTTTAAACTGTTCCTTCTCTATTTCTACTTCTTCTCGCTTTCTTCTAGCCTGCTCTTCTTCAATTTTAGCTTGTTTTTGTGAACGTCTCCTTTTCTTTTCTCCTTGTTCATTTCTGGCTTGCTCTTGCTCCTTCTCTGCTTCTTCTTGTTGTTGCCTTCTGGCTTATTCTTACTCCTCTTTTGCTTCATCATGTTGATGCCTCCTTTCCCTTTCTTCTTGTTCCTTTCTAGCTTGCTTTTGCTCCTTTTCTGCTTCTTCTTCACGTTGTCATTTGTCTTGCTCTTGCTCTTCTTTTTGACATGTCCTTTCCCTTTCTTCTTGTTCCTTTCTAGCTTGGTCTTGCTCCTTTTCCGCTTCCTCTTCTTGCTGTCTTCTGGCTTGTTCTTGCTTCTCTTTTGCTTCTTCTTGTTGATGCGTCCTTTCTCTTTCTTTTTGTTCTTGTCTAGCTCGCTCTTGCTCCTTTTTCAATTCCTTTTCTTTGTATCCCCTTGCTTGTCCTTGCATTTGTTTTGCTTCTTCCTTTTGTTGCCTCCTTTCCCTTTCTTCTTGTTCTTTTCTACCATGCTCTTGTTCCTCGGTTGCTTCTTCTTCTTGATGTCTTCTCACTTGTTCTTGCTCTTCTTCTACTTCTTCTGTTTGATGCCTCCTTTTTCTTTTTTCTTTTTCTTTTCTACCTTGCTTCTGCTCCTTTTTTGCTTCTTCCTCTTGTTGTCTCCTAGCTTGTTCTTGTAGCTCTTCTTCTTCATCCTGCTGACGCCTTCCTTCCTTTTCTTTTTGTTCCTTTCTAGCTTGCCCTTGCTCCCTTTCTGCCTTTTCTTCTTGTCGTTTGCTAGCTTGTTCTTTCTTTTCTTCTTCTTCTTGTTGCTGATGCTTTCTTTCCCTCTCTTCTTGTTTCTTTTTAGCTTGTTCCTGCTCTATTTCTGCTTCTTCTTCTTGCTCTCCTCTAGCTTGTTCTTCCTTATCTTTAGCTTTTTCTTGTTGATACTTCCTTTTCCTTTCTGCTTGTTCCTTTTTAGTTCGTTCTTGCTCTCTTTCTGCTTCTTCTTCTAGCTCTTTCCTAACTTGTTCTTCTTCTCTTTTAGCTTGTTGACGCTTTCTTTCCTTTTCTTCTTGTTCCTTCTCCCTTTTTGCTTCTTCTTCTTGTTTTCTGGCTTGTTCTTGCTCCTCTTTCACTTCTTCTTGTTGATGCCTCCTTTCCCTTTCTTCTTGCTCTCCTCTAGCTCGTTTCTGCTCTATTTCTGCTTCTTCTTCTTGCTTTCTTTTAGCTTGTTCTTCCTCCTCTCTAGCTTCTTCTTGTTGATACTTCCTTTCCCTTTCTTGTTTCTTTTTAGCTCGTTCCTGCTCTATTTCTGCTTCTTCTCCTTGCTCTCTTCTAGCTTGTTCTTCTTTTTTAGCTTCTTCTTGTTGGTGCTTTCTTTTCATTTCTTCTTGTTCCTTTTTAGCTCGTTCCTGCTCTGTTTCTGCTTCTTCTTCTTGCTCTCTTCTAGCTTGTTCTTCCTCCTCTTTAGCTTCTTGTTGTTGACGCTTTCTTTTCCTTTCTTCTTGTTCCTTTTTAACTTGTTCTTGCTCTTCTTTTGACGCCTTCTTTCTTTTTCTTCTTGTTCCTTTCTAGCTCGCTCTTGCTCCCTTTCTGCTTCTTCTTGTTGATCTCTCCTTTCCCTTTTTTGTTCCTGTCTAGCTCGTTTCTGCTCTGTTTCTGCTTCTTTTACTTGCATTTTTTTAGCTTGTTCTTCCTCCTTTTTAACTTCTTTTTGATACTTTCTTTCCCTTTCTTCTTGTTCCTTTTTAGCTTGCTCCTCTTCCATCTTTGCTGCTGCTTCTTCCTCTCTTCTAGCTTGTTCTTCCTCGTATTTTACTTCTTGTTGACACTTCCTTTCCCTTTCTTCTTGTTTCTGCTCCTTTTTTGCCGCTTCTTCTTGTTGTCTTTTAGCTTGTTCTTGCTCTTCTTTTTGACGCCTTCTTTCTCTTTCTTTTTGTTCCTTTCTAGCACGCTCTTGCTCCCTTTCCGCTTCTCCTTTTTTCCGTCTTCTGGCTTGTTCTTGCTTCTCTTTTGCCTCTTCATCTTGTTGCCTTCTTTCCGTTTCTTTTTCCCTCCTTCTTTCTTCCTCCTTTTTTTCTTGTTTTCTCTTTGCCTCTTCTTGCTCTTTCTTTGCCTTTTCTTCTTCTTTTTCTCTTCTCTGATCTTCCTTCCTTTTTTGCTTTTCTTCTGCCTGTCTCTTAGCTTCTTCCTCCTCTCTCATTTTCTCTTGTTCTTTCCTTTGGGCTTCCTCCTCTGCTCTCTTTTTAGCTTCCTCTTCCGGTCTTCTTTTCTCCTCTTCTCTTTTTCTCGCTTCCTCCTCTTGTCTCTTTTTTTGCTCTTCTTTCCTTTTAGTTTCCTCTTCACCCCGTCTCCTGTCCTGCTCTTCTCTCCTTATTTCCTCTTCCCTCTCTTTGGCTTCCTCTATCATGATCTTTTCCTCTTCCTCTGCACATGATCCACACTCTAATATGATGGGTCCTTCCTGAGAATGCAAAAGTTGCTTTATTGTTGTGTCGCTCACATTGAAAGATGCAGCCAATATGTGCTTATCTATGGTCTGTAGCACTGATCTCTTTCCCGCCAAAAATTGAGGATAGGTCTTCTTCGTTGTGGTACTAAAGCCCAGAAAAACGAGAGAGTCATTGTTGAAAGACATCTGAGCCATTGGACGAAACCTAGGTACCATGAAAAAATCACCCTGCTTCACCTTAAACCTTGTGTTTTGGCATTTAAACTTGTCCATATTGCTGCTCCCGCATACCACACGAACCATGCCTTCCCCTTCCAATACCACTGCTATCTCTGTTGCCAGTGGATTCCAATGTGGCCCCATCATTGCTCCCTTGTTTATTAATTGTCACCCAGAATTTTAGTTAACATTAAAATAAAAAAAAATCAAACACAAAAGTTCAACCGAAAAGGAAAACCAAATTAAGTTGAACCACTAACCGCGGTCAAATTCACCATCAGGAAGCCAATGTTGATATGTTTTAATGATTTCAAATGTTTTTGGGTCACCATGAGGCTCCATCCATAACGGTTTTTAAAATCAGGTTGTTTGTCAAAAACGTTATATTTCCCGGGTTTATTGTTGTTGGAGGACACGTCAATGGCAGTCTCACCACCAAATACTCCGTTTAGAATCCAAGCCTCCAATTTCAATATATTGTTCTTCTCCTTCGAAACAGCATGCACTATTGCAGGGGTCTTAGTTTTCTCTGAAATTTCTGCAGCCAGTTCTTCCGGCACCTTCCCAAAAAAAAAAAAAACACCACCAACGATTGCCCGTGATTAACAACTGTGCCAGCTCATGTGAGAATAGACTACTTGTGCTCTGCTAGAACTTAATAAAAATCTGTATTTAAATTTTCCTTTCTGCTTTTTGATTAATTCAATTTAGAGATTTAGTTATATAGATACCCCAAAAGCTGCTTGCATGATTTTCTGATCGAAGCCTCCGACCAGTTCACTGATTCTGGAATAAGCACCAATTGCTGGGTCCTGTGTTCACGGTTCAGGTTAAAGAAACAGCTAACAAAGCATTAGGGACTTCGTTAGTAGAATTTATGTAAGTTCAATTAAATGACGTCTGGACAACTTGAGAAGCCGATCTTACGTAATGGTTATGAATGGAGTTGGGGAAAATTGCGAAAATCCGAAGTCTCTGTCTTTGTGCCTCCAAGTTGCTCTGTAAATAGAAAACAAAACCTGCTCCAAGCATGCAGATGTCACCTTGACGTAGATTTATCGTTTTACTATTGCCATCATATGCCCAAATCAGCCTTCCACTCCCTGAAACTCAGGCAAATCAACGTTGTGATGAGGTTAGTTCATGCCATGTCTCGTGCTCTTGAAAAGGGGCCGAGTTCTTCTATTTTGCCTTTGGCAGGTATCAAAGCCGTCACTATCTTCATCCAAATGAGATTACTGAGTTTCGGAGTTCAAGTTCGTGGTAACGATACTAGCATATCCTCAAAAACAAGTCTTTCGTGCAAAAAATGAGAGTTCTACTGAATTAAAATTGTATTATCAGTAAATGTCAGTCGTTATTACCGGTTGGCAATTTTAGATCACTGAAGTCCAAACATTGTTGACTGTTTTAGTAAAGAAAAAAGCTTAGAATATTATTTGGGTATGAGTGAAGAATGAAATATGCCCAAAGGAAGATAGATAAAAGCAAAATTAGGATGAAAATAAAGAGCCTAAATCGAGGAAGGTACCTGTGTGAACATAGAAGAGCATGTCTGCATGAAGAAGAACAGGAAGGAAGAGAGAGTTGGGTTCGAGTTTAAAGAACTGAAGATGGAAGGGTAGTCTGTGTCCATCTTTGACGTCAATGGCAGACACCTCACCATATTCAGTGCTTGTTATTGTTCTCCACTCAGATTTCCCCATCACTGGACTCTCGTCCTTCGCGGAATTATCAGAACTCGAAACCTTCCCATAAAAGGAAAGGGTGAGTAGCAAGAAGAACCAGAGAAATGAAAATGGCGAAGCCAGGAAAGCTCTTTGATGCTTCATTTCTGAAATTCAGTTTGCTTTCGGGCTTACCAAAAGTAGCATGCTCTATATAGGAAGAGTGTCAGAATTTTGAATGGCACGTGTTCTTGTTGCTCGACACGTACAAATAGATTGTACAAATGGCAGACTGCATGCCTATACTGCATGAGTCCAACTTACATTTTTCCTTGCCATGCCGTCTGTGAATTCAAGTTGTTGAGTTTACTCACTGTGATCCCAAATCTAATCTAATTTATGGATTAGCTTCCTGACGATATTCTGAACAACTCATTATAACATCGCTGGAATTATTTAAAAAACAAAAAACAAAAAACCGAGGTAACCATGAAATTTCGTACCCTCAGTTATAACTTGATGAAATTAAGAAAGGAACAGACCTTGAATATTGACAACTCAAGGCGCAAAAACTTGAATCTGTCATTTTCATGGGTGCGACTGGGGAGGGTAGTCCATTTAGGATGCCAGTCCAGTTGTTTCATCCCATATTTTCTGTTTGCAGAACAATATTGTGGATATATACAATTTCTTAATCTTTTTTTCCCCCCCTAAAACAAGTATGCAGAGGAGAAAAGGAAAGCTACATGATAAAAGCCAGGCTCCTCAAACTACGTAGGAGAAATCTTCTATCAAGAGGAAAGTGAAGAGATAAAGTGAAGATCTTGAGGCACCCGCCTGTCAAGTGTCAAGTAACAGCTTCGTAATGAAGATCTTTGCTCTTTGCTTGATTTTTTCCAAAATAAATAAGTTTAAATACAAATTTAGAATAGCGTAACGACTAATTCATAATTTTCTTTCAATGGATTTATTCATAAATTTTGATTCAGTACAATTCATTCTTAATAATTTATTGAAGAGTTCAAGAATTATAGAAACGAAGTTAGAGTAAGTTAAAAGACCGTAAGAATTGAATTGTTTCAAGTTAATATTTAAGGACGGAATTAGTAATTCAAATCCAAATATAATAATAATACAAGGACGGAATTAATAATTCAAACCCAAATATAATAATAATACAATAAGTTTCATATTTCTATAAATAAATATATGATTGTTGATTAAATAATACATTCATCATACTATTATTAGAAATAACTAAAGTGTTGAAACTTTGTTAATAAAATTTCAAGGAGATAAAATCAGGTGAATTCCATCTTCAGCATGTGAGGTTGACTTATCCGGCTATAGAATTGATTTCCAAGAATGGCTGGTAGTCTCCCGTTCATGTCCCATGTGTGAATCATGATAGGAAAAAAGAACTTGCAGACCTCTTAGGTTCTCGAGCTTGCAGACCACTTAGGTTCTCGAGCTTGCATATAGGATTTGGGAAATACTTGGTTGCGTATGTTGATGAAGACAGGGACAAATCATCACTGTTTCAAGAGGTCATGGATAAGTTAGACAAAATGCTCCAAGCTTGAGAATCTTTGTTACTGCCCCAAGCAGGAAAATTAGCCTTGATAAAGCCGATTTTAACTTCTGTGCTACTATATCCCATGTCCTGATATGCTTCCCTGGTGCCATGCCATCGACATGAAAATGGCCATTTTTTCTACGATAGCTATAGAATTAATCTTTTACGTCGGAGGAAGTTGCGTTATGATAAGAAAATAGGAGGCTTGGATCTTGATGATACTCAGCGCATTAACAAAGCTATTTTGGCTGCAAAGAGTCTCATACGGCGTCGGCTTCTACCATTAAACCAAAATATCTGTCACCTTTGCTTGATATTTCTCTGTAACAGCAATCATGCTCATGAAGGGTGTTGATCTAACGACTCAAAGATTAGGCCGGGGAATAGGCAATGGCAAGAGCACTTCTGTGTTTAGTCACCTGTGATGGCTAATGTAGTCAGGTTAGCCTGATTCTTATACTGCATGAATATGAGAAGTGGAATGAGAACATTTTGAATTCTTGTAGTCCAAAAATTATGGTGGACTAATTCTCATATTGCCCTTTTCATTTCGATGCTCAAGGGTCCAGAGAACGGCTTAATATAACCATACTGCATAAGAAAAGTGAATTATGATGGTGGTCCTCAATTAATTCCCACAACGTCTCTTGCTGGGTGGTTTAATGTCATGCGTTTATTAACAAGGTTGGGAGAATGGATTGTTTAATTTTGGTCAAAATCAAAATGAACAAAGAGCTATTGACAGAAATTTTCCGTAGATTGAGAGCACAGTGAGTGGCAGTTAGGTGAGCTTTGGTTATCATTCATAGATGGCACCGTAATCCTTCACTCCCGTCCCACTTCATCGGCATTAGGTTCGGGAAGCAGAGGTATGTTAAGATCTGAAAGGCCAGATCTGTGGTGTCTTGCCCATCCCGTCCCCAGCAGCTCAGGTCATTGATCATATTAGATTTTGACTTTAATGGTTTGGTTTCTGACACTTCACTCTATAGACGTGTGCTTCTTGTCCATCGTCTGGGTGTTGAACTTCTTGTAATTGGAAAAACATGAAAATATGCGTATAATCTTAATTATAAGATTTCGTTTATACGTAAGACCAAGACCGGGAGTAGTATTAAACTTAAATCCACATCTCCTAATCAAGCTTAGACTGACCGACTTTATGAAAGCCCAAATCACAGCAACAGCATAATGCATAATTAATTATAGAAACTTCGGGTTAGTGTCATCGCCACATAGAGTGGATAGAAGATACCCAACTACCATCTCTTTCTTAAAATTTAAACATTCATTGCATCCTCTCTCTCTCTCTCGCGCGCGCGCGCACACACGAGCACACACCAGGCTTATTTGTTTGTTTATTTCAATTTCGGAGTGGAGTACAGTGGAGACCTCCTTAAACCCTCTTAATTCCTCTATTGCAATTAATACAGACGCATCCTTCTGATTTCTTCCTCTCCTTCACTTCCTGGGCCTTCCTCCTCCTCTCTCCTTCTGGCTTCTTCCTCTGCCTCTCTCCTTGCCTCCTCTCTCTCCTTCTGGCTTCTTCCTCTGCCTCTCTCCTTCTGGCTTCTTCTTCCTCTCTCCTTGCCTCCTCTTCTCTCCTTCTGGCTTCTTCCTCTGCCCCTTTCCTTGCCTCCTCTTCTCGTTTCCTTGCTTCCTCCTCCTCTCTCCTTCTAGCTTCTTCCTCTTCTCGTTTCCTTGTTTCCTCCTCCTCTCTCCTTCTAGCTTCTTCCTCTTCTCTTTTCCTTTCCTCCTCTTCTCGTTTAGCTTCTTCCTCTTCTCTTTTCCTTGCTTCCTCCTCCTCTCTCCTTCTAGCTTCTTCCTCTTCTCTTTTCCTTTCCTCCTCTTCTCGTTTAGCTTCTTCCTCTTCTCTTTTCCTTGCTTCCTCCTCCTCTCTCCTTCTAGCTTCTTCCTCTTCTCTTTTCCTTGCTTCCTCCTCCTCTCTCCTTCTAGCTTCTTCCTCTTCTCTTTCCTTTCCTCCTCCTCTCTCTTTTTCTCCTCTTCTCGTTTCCTTGCTTCCTCCTCTTCTCTCCTCTTCTCCTCTTCCCTCCTTTTGGCTTCTTCTATCATGATCCTTTCCTCTTCCTCTGCGCATGATAGACACCCCAATATGATGGATCCCGCCTCCGATTTCAAAAGCTGCTTAATCGTTCTGTCACTCACATTGAAAGACGTAGCCAGTATGCGCTTATCTATAATGTGCAGTACCGACCTCTTTCCCAATAAAAATTGAGGATATGTCTTCTTCATTGTGGTGCTAAAGCCCAGAAAAACCAGAGAGTCATTGTTGAAAGACATCTGAGCCATTGGATGAAACCTAGGAACCATGAACACATCTCCCTTCTTCACCTTGAACCTCATGTTTTGGCATTTCGACTTGTCCATGTTGCTGTTCCCACATACCACACGAACCATGCCTTCCCCTTCCAATACCATTGCTATCTCCGTTGCCAGTGGATTCCAGTGTGGCCCCATCATTGCTCCCTTGTTTATATAGTCATTACCCAGAAAATGAGTTAATTAATATAACAAAAACAAACAGCCTGAAAGCTTAACACAAATGAATGTGAATCACTAACCGCCGTCAAATTAACCATCAGGAGGCCAATGTTGATCTGCTCCAATGATTTCAAATTTTTTTGGGTCACCATGAGGCTCCACCCATGACAGTTCTTAAAATCAGGATCTTTGTCAAAAACGTTAATTGTACGAGGTTTATTATAGTTGGAGGACACGCCAGTGCCAATCTCACCACCTAAGACTCTGTTTAGAATCCAAGCCTCCCATTCTAACATTTCCTTTTTCTTAGTTGACACTGCATGCACTATTGCAGGGGTCTCAGTTTTGTTTGAAATTATTGCGGCCAGCTCCTCCGGCACCTTCAAAAATTAAAAAACGCCAACGATCGCGGTTTTGATCAATAACTAAGCCAGCTCCTGAGAAATATAACAATAGACTACTTGTTTCCTTTGCTAAAGCTTGATAAAATCTGTATCTGAATATTTACTTTGTGCATTCTCATCAGCTCTATTTTTAGAGATTTAGTTATATTTATATACCCCAAAAGCTGCTTGCATGATTTTTTGGTTGAAGCCTCCGACCAGTTCATTGATTCTCGAATAGGCACCGATCGCTGGGTCCTGCGTTCACGGTTCAGGTTGAACAAACAGCTAACAGCGCTTAGGAACTTCATCAGTACAGAAATGTGACTTCAATGAAAGGACATATGTGGACACTATGAGAAGCTGATCTTACGTAATGGTTATCAACCGAGTTGGGGAAAGCTGCGAAAATCCGAAGTTTCTGTCTTTCTGACTCCGAGCTGCTCTGTAAATAGAAAACAAAACCTGTTCCAATCATGCAGATGTCACCTTGACGTAGATTTATGGTTTCGGTATCACCATCATATGCCCAAGTAAGCTTTCCACTCCCTGAAACTCAGACAATCACCAACGTGGGGGTCAGGTTAATTCATATCATGCCACACGCTCTGAAATGGGGATTGAAAAATTAAAATATTGTTGTACAGTGCACAATGAAAGGCAAAGAGGAACTTCTTTCTGCTACTATAACAGTAAAGAAATTAAAAGAGCTTAGAATATTAAATTAGCGTACGAGTGAAAAATGAAATGCGCCCGAAGGTAACAACTAGAGGAAAACAAGTTCAGAATAGAGAACCAAAGTGGAGGAAGGTACCTGTGCGAACATAGAAGAGCATGTCCGCATGGAGAAGAACAGGGAGGAAGAGAGAGTTGGGTTCGAGCGTAAAGAACTGAAGATGAAAGGGCGATCTTTGTCCATCTTTGACGTCAATGGCAGACACCTCTCCGTATTCAGTGCTCGTTAATCTTCTCCACTGAGATTTCCTCATCACTGGACCCTCTTCTTCCTTCGTGACATTCTCAGATCTCGAAGCCTTCCCATACAAGGAAAGGACGAGTAACAAGAAGAACCAGAGAAATGAAAATGGCGAAGCCAGCAAAGCCCGATGCTTCATAGCTGAAATCAAGTCAATGTGCCTTTCGACATGCCATGGCTACGTAGCTGCTACCTCTTTATAGGAGGCGTCAAGATTTTGAGTGGCACGTGTTTTTGTTACTCGACACGTGTAAGGACATTGTACAGATGGCAGAGTGCATGCCTATCCTGGATGAGTCCAACTTTTTTTTTTAAAAAAAAAATCTGGCTATAGATGCATCCAATTTGTTGAGTTCACTTGGTCTGATCCCAATAACAGGTTCTCAGCAAGTTACGAAATTCGTGCTCACGAGTTCAAAATTGGTGATATTATGAATGAACCGAACTCGAGTTTGACAAATCAGGAAGGAAAAAAAAACTTGAATTTGTGAATTTGATGACTGCCCCGAGGGAGCGTAGTCCATTTGTATGTCAGGTGAGCTGTTTCACCCCTATTTCCTGTTTGCGGAGCCGTGCTACATTTGGAAAGTAGAAAAGTTGTTTCTTTTGAATATTGCTTTTCTTCTTCTCAATTATGTATTATTCATCAAATAGTGAATTAAATGTTGTGGGTACATTTTCCTTAAGATAGAGGGAAAAAACAGTTGTTTGGAATATGGATTAACGGATTCAATCCCCAGACTTCTTTTACGATTCTCTTTGGGCTTCTGTAGTTGACTGGTGTCGGGCCCAGAGCCGTTAACGAGTATTAATGAGCCCGACTTTTATTTGGGCTTAGCCCTCTCTTGTACCCCAAAAAAAAGCTTCCTGTCTTCCAGCTTGTTCTACTGGCTTCTTTCCTAATGTTTGTAATTCTTTTTTTCTTTGAAGTAATTATATTTCAGGCACTGTCAATTACTAAATGTGAGCATCTCTTTCAATAAGAATTCAAACCTTAACCACCCATAGAAGAAATAGCGTTCCGCTATGCTCACGTTGGTATTTTCATTCATGTAGTTAAATTGTATGTATTTGTAATTGGTGGAAGCCCGGCATTGTGATGTATGTATAAATAATAATGATAAAGCTTGGGGGCGGCGTGGAGTGGATAGAAGATCCCCCACCAGCCCTTATTATATTAATTATTTTATTTGGGTGGGAGACGTCTTTAGTTGTATGATCCCATCCTCTCGCCCTTTTGTGTTCCTCAAGCTTTCCCTCCCTCTTGCTCTCCCTTAGTCGCTAAGTATATGCATCCCTCTTTTATATTACTATTTGTTATGTGACATTAATAATATATACATGTCACATGATTTTCACACTTCCTCGTGTAATCAAATACGATTATACATGTAGGCTACATATGTTCGCAAGCAAAAAACGTATAACCATGAAATTATTAATTAATATGCTTGCGTGCAAGTTCCGGAAGCAAATATGGATGTAAAGACGCTTTATTTATTTATATTTTGGTTGGGTGGCCAAACTTTATTATACTCATAAAGTGGCCATCAACATAATACTCCTCGATCCTTAATATAAGACCCATTTAACTAATTTAATTAGATTAAGGAAGTTAGTAAGTTAGTTAATTATAAGAAATATGACACGTAAAATTAATCATATTTCTTAATACCTCATCTATATTAAGGACCGGAGGAGTATATAATAGACGGTTTTAGATAGAATATATTCTTTCGGTCTATAAGAGTCTTATATTTAAAATAAGAAGAGTGTGGTTTTCTCTTGTCTAGGCAAATCAAAGGACGTATTTGTGTAACGTTTGGGACTGATTCCTTCTTTGGCCTGTTGGGACGTGTTCTCCACGCTCTCCCATGAAAGCTCCGCCTCACAACTTTAGCCTTCCATGCATATCCGACAATAACCCGTCAAGTGGGGTCCATCTTGGAGCCACCTTAAGAGTCGTTACGTCATTGTGCCACGTCAAATGCCAGGTCCCGCTAAAGTTTGTTCTCGGCGGAACCCGAGAGAAGATGATAGTGCCGCGTGTGTTTATTCCAAACATATTTTGAAAAACAAAACAAAACGAATTCATGTTCTTTCTTTCTCTATGCCATGCCTTCATTTTCACTTGGAATTTTCATATTTGACTGGAAATGAATTTTTAAGATGGGATGCATACAATTATTCTTGTTACATTCATCACAGGGATGTTGAAGCTCTTGATCCCTTTTATATTTTGTATATTATATATATGTGCATATGTATCTATGTTTGGTTCAAGTTACCGCTTTGTTTCCCCAAATTTCATTCTTATCTCGATTTAGAGCAGCTCGCCATCGACCATTCAAGAATTTGTCAATAGTTATGAGATTTTGCCAATAATTTTGGTCTATTTGTCAATAACTAAGGAATTGCTTTACTGACATTTCAGATGATTTGTCAACAATTGTCCCTTAAGAGGAGTAACATAACTTCATGAAACTTGCGTAAAATAAATGAAATTTGAGGGAGCAGGAGTTTCATTATTTCTTCATTTTAATAAAATCATGTGACATGAGGTATAGTTATGATATTCTTAATTTAATTTAAGAAAGGCATTCAGAATCTCAGGAAGACATTATCAACAACCTTAACTTAATCGTGCAAATACAACTAAAAAATAATAAATCTTCATATAATATAGTTGGCTTTACATCTATCGCATAACCAAATAATTGAAATGATCAATTATGGCAAAAAAGAAAAAAGTGACTGATCATAGAGTTTTGAGCTTGCACTTGAAGAAGTGCTCTCACTGCTCATCATCATCACGTAATGATGAATAACAACTTGTTTCAAATCTAAATACCACCTGCAGTCCTTATATTACATGGTCTTTCTGAAATATTTATATGTATTATTAGATTATATATTAATCTATAAGTCAAACAAATTAGTTTGGAGAAAAATAATAAATATAAATATTTTAAAGTAATTTAGTTAGCTTCTTTAATCTCTACAAATCTGGGAAGTAAGCCTTATGTCAAGGGTGATAGGTGGTATATATAAATTGTAGATCATGTGGGGTAGTTGTTTTTTGGACAATGAGAATTGTAAATGATAAATTTGAGTGATAGCTTAGTTGCAAGCCAGAGGTGGTCTTTCTCACGTTAATCCTTTGAGTCATAATTAAATCTCTAATCCCATGCTGATAGAAGTTTAATTAATAGCATATCACGGCAAGAGAGTATTGTAAAAGTCGCTAAAAAGGGCAAGGGTGCAAATTAATCAACTAAAATTTGAAATTAGTTAAAGAAAATTACCTGGGATTCGTGTTTGTGTATGTTAGTTACAAGAGAGAGATCAGTGTGGTTTGACAATTATTTCACGAAACGGTGAGACTGAGAAAGGCCTTCCAGTGAGAGGGCCGAGCTGGAAAGAGAAAGGCGAATATGTATGGAGTGTTTATTTAAAAATGCTGCGCTATTTGCTATCCGTGAAAAGTGGGGGCTTCTTTATAAATACCAGTGTGAACAGGCTTCGTCAATCTTGGATGCAGCAGCAGCAGTATTATATAATTAACGTGGATACGATGACGTGTTTCTGAGGCAAAAGTAATACTCGAAACTTTGACCTTGACAGAATTAGAGGCATCTAAATGTCAAACGAGGGCAACGAAAAAGCTACCGACTAATAACAATACGCAAATTCACCAGAAACTGACACAGAGACATAGGAGAAAGAATAATTAAGCAGCTGGTAATTAACTATTTTTTGGATTTTTCTCCCGTATCCCACATCCAAAGGATGCAGACAATCCGGAATCGCCCCTAGACAGGGACTTCCTAGGATTCGAGCCCAAAACATGGTGAGTACGCGGGACCTTGCCTTCCCCTTATTGAACAGTCGAACTAGTCAGACCAACCCTCCTGAGCTGGTAATTAACTTTCCTGCTTCTTCCATGCACCGGATTTTAGTTTTTTTTCTTTATAGAAGGCATGCATGTATATATCCAACTGATCGATATGATTCAATGGAACATGCACAGGCAAATATAATCTAAGGTGATTCGAATTTTCGGGATACAGATTCCCTACAATCTTATACATGCTTCTCTCTGAATATATAAATCCCAGTGAGTGAAAAGTCGCCTGATTCGTGAAGATTGGGAGCCCCTTTTGTTACTTGTGGTGGGTTCTTTTTCACCTGAATTGGAATTAATTAGTAGCAAAGGAATAGCAGAAAACTTTCCATGAGACGGAGAGCTAAAGTCAAGCAATTAAGCTCCTCACAAGGATGTTAATCATGGACCTTTCTGTAAGCTTTTGTTGAGGATCAATAAAAGCATTGGTGGCTCTAGGTTGTTTTGGGGCCCGTTGAAAACTTTTGTGGGTCCTACATTTTTCAATATGGAAGCGACCTAACTAGGTCCATATATGGGGCTTTAAGCCTTTAACTCCCCTTCCCTGACCTCTTTTATTTTGTCGTTTTACAGTCGCAAAAGTCCTCTGATATGTTAACGGCTGCCTTTTGTTTTTATTCTTGTTCATAGATGCACCAATGGCCAGGCTACGCGTGATTCCTCCGGCCTTTAATTTATTATAAACTCAGCTAAACTGAGCAATCAAAGAACATAGGAATAATAAAATAACAACTGACCAAGATATAACTTGAATAACACTTCCGTACATGCTCCCTCAAATGACACGTACTGTCTTAATTTGATTCAGTGCATATATTCAGTTGAATTAATTGACTTGAAAATGAATGTGTTTTCCAATTGCTTAATCAAATTAATGATTGAAACGTGAATTTATAGCTGATCATGTCAAAGGAGCTCATAACCTTGGAGCTTTAAACCGAGAAAAGCAAAGAGAAAAGGTAAGGTAATTAAACCAGTGTCTTCGTCTTCAAGCTTTCGAAAGGCGAAAACGCTCTCTCTTTCCGTCTCACTCATGCTGAGATGGTCATGCATGCAATATCATGCATGCCATATGACTGTACCCGGTAACCCCACCACCAGCTTTACAGGCGCACACGCAAAGATAAAAAGGGCCACAACCAAAACGACCAAAAGCCTCCTTCTCCAAATCCTTACTTTCATCTCTGGAGTGGGACGAACATGCCTTGCACAGTCTGGATTGGGATTCCATCATGAAGGATGGGGGTTTACATGATGACTCTCTTGCTAACGTTTTGAAGAGTACTGTTCCACAATCAAACCCATGTGACCCTCACGTCCCACATCTTCCGGAATTCCCCAACTCTCAGGAGGTCCCTTTTGATCAAGCCCCAGATTTGAGTCTCTCAGATGTTTATATGAGTCAAAATATGGGTTGCAATTACAAACAACTCCTTGATCATTTGGTTCAGCAGTTCAATCATGGCCATAGTTGGCAAAGCAACGGGTTTGATATGATCAAGGAACTTATTCGAGCAGCCGATTGCTTCGACACGAGCCAGCTACAGCTCGCCCAGGTGATATTGGATCGGCTCAATCAACGTCTGCGATCCCCCGTCGGAAAACCCCTCCACAGAGCTGCGTTTTATTTCAAAGACGCTCTCCAGTCTCTTCTCTCCTGTTCGAACCGGACCCCACGTCTTTCTTCCTTAGTGGAAATCGTTCAGAGCATCAGAACCTTCAAAGCTTTCTCAGGAATTTCTCCAATTCCCATGTTCTCCATCTTCACCACCAACCAAGCACTCCTGGAAGCCCTTCACGGATCATCTTTCATGCACATCATTGACTTCGAAATCGGTTTAGGCATTCAATACGCTCCTCTTATGAAAGAGATGGCAGAGAAGTCGGAGTCCTGTAAAATCAACTCGCCAGTCCTTCGAATCACAGCGGTCGTGCCAGAAGAATACGCCGTGGAAAGCAAATTGATCAGGGAGAACCTGAACCAGTTCGCCAGCGATCTCAGGATCCGAGTCCAAATCGAGTTCGTGCTGTTCAGAACCTTCGAAACTTCGTTGCTGAACGCCGTCAAGTTCATGGAGGGAGAGAAGGCCGCCGTTCTGCTAACCCCGACTATCTTCCGCCGGCTGGGATCAACAAAAAACATAGCCGCATTTCTAGGGGATATTCGGAGGGTTTCTCCAAGCGTGGTTGTATTCGTAGACGGCGAAGGGTGGGCTGACGACGCTACAGCGACGTCGTTTCGTCGGAGTGTTGTGAACAGCCTAGAATTCTACTCGGTCGTGTTGGAGTCGTTGGATGCGTCACTTGTGGGAGGGTGTGGGGAATGGATAAGGAGAATAGAAATGCTCCTGTTGCGACCGAAGATATTGGCAGCGGTGGAAAGCGGAGGACGGCGGGTCCCGGCATGGAGGGACATATAAAATGTTATATTAATATTAGGCAAATCAAATGGCAATCATACTGGGCAAAGGCAACTTATCATCAGTTACAATAAACAGGAAAGGTGCATATCCAAGGGGATGCCTCTTGTTTCTCTAGCAGAAGCAGTGATGTTTTCTTCACCCCAGAACATAATTGAGCTCTGGTGCTGTTTTGCAACTAAAATAGATAGAAAGAAAGTCTACAGGAGTTGAGAAGATTCATTGTATTGCATGGCAGAGGAGCTCTGGTTATTCCTGAATCCTCAATCATTGTAACTCGCTTTCAACCTTTTCTGAGTCTCTCTTATATCTCTGTTTAAAAGGGGTGACCAAAAAAAAAACAGAGAAACAGAGATAGCCGGCGTCGTATGTACAAATTTACCAACGGTACAATAACAAAGAGGATGCAGAGAGAAGGGATGAGACCTGCTCCTTCTCTTGATGTGTTTTTTATGGTAATCATTAAATGAATAATATATTTAGTTTAATGTTATAATTAGTAATGTTACACCGTCAAATGAAGTCCACATTAATATAGATGACAATGATATTGAGTAGGCAGAGATGGAATAAAAATGGCAAATTTTGTGGACTACCTAGTCAAACAATGGTGAAAAGAGGGAGTGATCTCAAAACTTGCTTGGATTAACTTCAAAATCAATAAATACTATGATACCGGTGGGGTGAGGAGCAGGCGAAGCAACAATTGGGGCCAAAAAAAAAAAGGTCGGTGGGTGGCTCCAAAAGCATAATAAGCCTAGATAAGAAGCCGAATTGTTAGTTAACTTTATTTACTTGCAGGAAACCTTTCGTAATATAGAAGCCAGTGAAACAAATTCATCTCGAAACCCCCCCCCCCAACCTGCACAGAGCTGGACCAATCAGGGTATGAGGGTGTTGTTGGCATCTCCTGTTAATGTAAAAAGAATGCTGAGAGATAGGAAGGATCAATAGAAGTAAAACGTGAAGGACACAGAAGGAAAAGAACCTGAGTTGTAGAAGCTTGTTTGGATGGTTTAGGCGTGCTCTCTTCCCCTATCCGCATCTAGACCAGTTCAGACAAACTGTCCTTTCATAAAATCAACTCAAAGACGTGGAAGTCATTAAATCACCTTAAACAGCCACACATATCAGCAAACAACACTATGATTTCAAAAACATAAAATCACACACATATAATAGCACCAGGTCAGTCAACAACAACTGTCAAATCAAACACGTAATAGATATATGCAAATGAGGTCAAGACATAGCTTTGAGTGGCATCTCATCCAAAGAAATGGGTAATTGAGCACTTGCTTTACAATCAAGAAATTGACATCGACGAAAAGAAGCCCACCCCTTGAAGGGATCTGATTAATTATCTATTGAAAATTGTTATCAAATCAGACCCAAAATATGAAAGAGAAAATACAATTGCAAAAAAAAAAAAAAGAATCCTAACTAATGAGTTATTAGTTGAGATGGTAAGCGATCTACTTTCGTTAAAAAGAACATAAGTTTATGCCCCGTTTGGTAGCATGGAATTGGAGGGAGGGAAGTGGAAGTGGAAGTGGAATCCAATTTAAGATGTTTGGTATGCTGGAAGCCACTTCCATGGAACTCCCACTTCCATCAAATCGGTGGAACTCACTTCCTTGGTTCCCCACCAGGAACCCAGTTCCACTTCTCATGGAACTGGCTCTGTGACTATTTTGCCCCCCATCCCCACCCTTCCCACTGTTCAACACCCCGCGAGCATGATGGCAGACGGCGATGATTCCGGTGAGCACGATGATGGACGGCGTCGACGCCATTGACCACTCGGTAGACGCCTCTTCTTCTTACCGAGGTTCACAGATTCCTCAAAGCCTCCAGCGATGCTCCTACTGGCATGAGATCTGGAGCATAGAGGACGGCGGCAGAGGAGTGGTGCGGATTTCATCTCTACTCTTTTCCTCCATGGCTACTTATTCTCCACCAGATCTCATCTTCTCCCTTCGACTTGTCTTCTTCCTTCCACTTTCTTTTCTTTGATTTTCCATTTGTAATGACTAAAGCTTGCGAATCTTGAAACAAAGCTTACAATGCAAATGTTGAGCTCATGAATCTCCCCAAACAAGAACCTTGTACAGATTTGCTTGCTTTGAGAAGTTTTTGGTCTCGACTTGGAGCACGATTTTGGTCTTTTCGGGGTTAATCTCCAGTACTTCGATCAATTCTACGATTTTCATTGATTTCCTTCTCAACTAGAATGTTGTTGTGTCTTTTAATCATTCAATTGTGTAATTTGTGATTCATATCAATGTTTCTTTTTTTACTGGATATGTTTTATGGTGATCATTGGTTCTTTCGACTGTGCTGATGGTTCTTGGTGGATGGTTGCATCTGGTGTGGAGAGGATTTTTGAAACGGTGGAGTTCTTCTCTCTGCCGAAGGGTATTTTGGTATTTCACATTACAATAATGTATTTAATTAAATTATATCCCACTTCCATGGTTACACCAACATGTTTTAAAACTCATTTCCTCTTCCACTTCCACTTCTATTCCACTTCCCTTCTACTTCCACTTCCATCAAAACTCTTCTTCCATCGTACCAAACGGGGCATAAATCCTGAAAATGTATTTGTTGGGAGGGTTTAAATTTTAACGCTCTTTGTCAAACAGAAATTAGTCTCAAATCCCAAATACTTGAGGATTCTTTGAGTTATAAAAAAAAATCCTATAAAATATAAATGCATTCATGCGCCAACTGCGGACTCCTGGTGCTGTTCTAATTTATTTTGTATAGCACATCAAATTAATACAAGATAATTAAAAAATAAAATAAATGTTTAAAGGAAGGAAGAAAAGAGAATATATGTTAATGACATTATGATATGGGTCCGAGTTAAGGTTGTATTGTGAAGGAGTTATGCTTGCAGTTGCTGGTTGAGGTTGTAATCGGAGATGAAGCCCAAAGCACATTAACTTTGGGCTTGGGCTTGGGCTTGTTTGCCTCATTCCCTGTATATGGGCTTAGAGACTGTGTGAGGCACAGAAGACTCCCGCAGCATTGATATTTGGTTTTCACTCTCACGGCCTGTTAATTTGGACAATGGAGAGGCCGCGAAGGAACGCTGGGAGAACCCAAATGAAACGACCCTGCATATGAAGCAACGAGGGACGAGAAGTCATTGGAAGCAGTGGTGAAAGGGATCAAATAACACGCAGATATGAAGCAAAATTGCAGATTTTGAAGTTGTTAGTCCTTTTCTCCAGATTTATAAGCCATTCGGTCCTTTTGAGTTTGAACCAATTTTTACGAAGCGTGGACCTCGGAACCTGATACAAGTGTGCCTATCATCGCCATGAATTCTGATCACTCCTCCGGCCACTTAATTAGACAATTTTAAGTTCAATTAATCTTGATATTTTCCCTGAGATTTAGTTTAATTAGTTAATGCCCTTTGCTTTTTCCCTTTTCACACTTTCATTATTAATCAATGGCTAAGCATTATATTGTAATGAGCAGTGTGTGTTGAAGTTGGAACTCTTATAGTCTTTGTCCATTTGTCTTATAAAACGTAAAAGTGCAAGAGTAACCACAGCACGCTTATTTGCTCTTCCAGATAGTAGTACTCAATCACATGGATGATATATAATGCATAACGGCAGTGGAGATGGTTGTAATTACTTTCGAGTTTTAGTTTTCTCCCTTTGACTTGAAACAAAGAAAAAAGAGGTTTGAAAACAAACGAATGTATAGAGGATATCAGCCAAGTTAAATTTCGTTCACCTTTTGAACATGACTCCTATTCATTCAAACCCAGTTCCAATGTAAGAATCAAGCGTACTGCTTCCTTCTCGTAGGTCAGTATCTATCAAGTCCTACTTGCTTCATTCTTCCTAATCACAAAAGATTCCATGCCTCGCATCTTCATATTTAACAATGCTAATAAAAAGAGCATAACTTAGTATTCGAACAAAGATTGGAGATAATGTTATGGTAATGACATTGAAATTTCGCTAATAAAGTAAAAAGACCCTAGTCTATGAGAAATTCCGCTAAGAATATGAGAAATTCTTCAGCTACAATATTGGTAATATTTTCGTTGAAAGAACTCTTATCCTCTAACATTACATCGAGATAACTTTATATCAAATCAAAACAAAAATCGATTCTTCATGTTGAGGGGGGGGGTGTTGTGGAAAACGGGTGCTCTGCGAGTTGCTGGCAGCTGGTAGAAGTCAATTAACTTGATGTTTGAATCAATGAATAGAACGAGAAAGAGAAAGAAAAAGGAGGAAAAATAGATTCCAGTTAGACGCACTCCAGTCACCTCAAACAGGAACCATACACTTTTGTCCAAGTTCAAGGCTTCAAGTACTCCCACTCCCACCATCCATGTTCTTCGCGCGCGGGAATAGTTTAACTTTTTATTCTCTCTGTTCCTTCCTTATCTCTTTCCCCCTTTTCCTTGTCTAATTTCAGGAGTCAATTAGTAAAATAAGCATGCTAAAAGATATTGATATATTGATCCAAATGCTTAAAAATAGCAAATAAACTAGGCTTTTTTTTTGGGTAGCCGAAATATATAAACAAAAATGGCCAATTAATGAAGTACAATATAATGATCCTTATTACAAGTCCAGATAAATGTGTGTGATGATGAATCTATCATTAGTTAGTTTTGCTCAGCTTTATATGAATTAAAAAAGTGGCTGTCTTGGTTCTCCTGGGTATGTAGAACTATAGACATTATTTGAAAGCTTGATAAACATACACACATAAAGAGGATACTACTGCCAAGGTCAAAATATAAAACTCCTTATATCAGTATATTCAGTGAATTAAACCCGAAGAATCTCTCACGTCATTGCCGAAAATAAAACAGAGATAAGGTGGTGTTAAGCTAGTCTAGGAATAATGTATTACTAGTATTGTTCAAGCCCCCTTTCCACCTTACCAAGAGAACACAATGGAAGCTGACACGGCTAAGCTAATTATAGTCATGCGATGAGAAAACTCGGCACTGATACTCCCTCACAGGGCAACACAAATTTATGAACTTTAGGCAACAAACGGAGATATGATTCACGAATTAGGAGTCAAAGGGAAGTTTAATTATTAGGTCAATGACATAATTTTTCTCCAATTCATAGTCAAAAGCACACACTATAGCCAGCTTTTATAGCTATTAGCTAACGTACTTATCCCCAAGGGGGGCTGGAAATTAATTTACATGATTAGATCATTCACATTATCTACACAATACTGATACTAATTATAATGTGGTTTTGGTAATTATGGTGGCGTGATCATCATATGTATATCCACTCGTCCATGCCATTAATGTAATGGGTCTGTGGCATGTAAAACACATCATCGTCATAAGGCTCAACCCTAAGATCTCCCAGAAATGAAGGGTTCACAGCTTCCATCGACTGTGACGAAGTGGGACTGTTGCTGCTTGATACCCTATCGACCCGCTCCAGAAGCCGTTGGATATCTTTCTCTGCCTCTGAAAGCTGCTCCTTCAGCTTCAGTACCTGCATTTTCACCAAAATCTCAGTTAAAATATGTCACCTTCCTAGTTCCTCACAAGTGGGCCGTATTGAAGGCCCAAGACAACATTGTACGGATGCTCGACGATCACCACGTTGTGCTTTTTGTTGTCTCCTAAGGTGGCATTATGCTATTCCTTCTCTTTTCCCTTCTTTTTCCGCCTCACTTTTGTATGAATTTTAATGGAGAAGAATTTATGAGGACAATCCAGATATTTTCTTCGAGCCCGGAGCTCATATGGCCTTGTTGGGTCACTTTCTTATTTTGCATTTTGTTTGATTTTTTTTTTTTCCGGTTTCGTTCTTCGGTTCTTTTTGCCCCTCGGCTGTTGTTAGGACCGACTATGGGTGCAAGTGCAACGAAATTTTCAGTTCTCTTCTCTCTTTAAAATTTAAGGGACTGTAGAGCCAAACGGGCAAAAAAGTCAGGGAGAAGAAACGTCTGGACATGCTTGCCCGAAATAGACGTTATTGCGAGAACGAAAAATGGGACCGCGGTGCTGTTTGGATAGTAAGAAACCGATGGAAAACACGAAAAAGTCTTGCTTTGCGACTCTCTAGGTAGCTCACTCGCTAGCCCGCATCATCGCGCTTTGAAGTCGAGAAGACGATGAACTAAAACTCACTGATTTTGAGAGGCTCGGTTTGTCCTCTCAAAAAGATTTCTAAGCACAAGAATACGTAGGGGCCAATGAAACGAATCCGAGTAACTAAAAATATGGGGCAAAACTATCTCGGGAACGAAACAACGATAGATTAAACGGAAAAGAAAGAGAAGTACCTCGGTTTCAAGGCGGCATTTCTCGAGAATGGTGGACTCGTGGACTTTCTTAAGGCTAGAGTACTCTTCCTCCAACTTCTTGCTCTTCCAACGCGCCCTTCGGTTTTGGAACCAAACAGCCACTTGACGCGGATCCAAGCCCAGCTCCGACGCCAGCCGGTCCTTCCGTTCAGACTCCAATTTATGTTCGTTCCCGAAGTTTAGCTCTAGGAGATTCACTTGCTCTGCACTCAGCTTCCTCTTCTTTATTCCGCTATCTCCGTTTTCTCCTCCCTTGTTCTTCTTGCGACGTCGCCTCGGCTTTGTTCCCCCTGAATATATATATATGTGTGACCAAACAGAGAGACAAGTTCAGATTTAGTGATGCCTTGGAAGATGACCAATTCATAACATGCAAAACGCTGATAAAAATACAAAGATGGAAACCTTGTTGAGGAATTATTTGAGAGTAAGCGCCAGGGTATAGCTGAGAGACAAGCACCATGTGATCGTCAATAGGATGAGGATTCATGGTGTGGTAGTGGCCGATGTCTCTCTCCAATCCTCTTTCTCTCTCTATTCTTAGATCTTTTAGCTAGTGCGTGATAAGTCTCTTTCTCTCTCCCCCTTTCTCCCTCACTTATCTTTCTCTGTACGAGTTATGTTCTCCCACAAAGAGCGAAGTGTCTTTGGAGATACTCATACAACGAAGGCTTTCTTATTTATAAGTAAAACGATGTGCCCGTCTTGGTCATGAGTTTCTCTCGATGTGGATGATTGCCCTTTTACCGAAAATGCCCACAGCTTTGTCAAAATTTACAGATCAGTGCCATTGTGTCGTTTTTCCAATTGTTATTATAGCAGCAATTTGGTGTCCTCCAAAGCATGTACGTACAGATGTTACTCTAAGTAGGATATGAGATGCTAGAATACGTAATTCTCCAATCAATATTGAAGTTGAACAGCATGACATATTTTGCCCCCAACTTTTTACAAAAAGAAGAAAATGATAATTAAAGTTTGTATGGAAATAGAAATTTTTATTAGCGCACACATAAAATTAAGCAAATGAAAGGAAATGCCTATGAAGGTAATAGACGGGGACTGAATAATTAATATGATGAAGGACATTTAGTGTCATTGTGATATAATAATTAGCCCAAGAGGGGATGGCCATAGTGAAAGATTTGAAGACTAATGGAGTGAGATTGAAAGAGAAACGTACAGACATGGGAGAGTGTTTGGATTGAAAAGGAAAGTTAGGCTTTCCCAAACAAGAGACTAACAGAGAGAGAGAGAGAGAGAGGGTCATAATGGGGTATGAACAATAACTAATGGAGCTCAATTCCACGCTTATGAACCTTTTTTTGGTTTGTTTTGTTTAGTGTGAGTGGAGGAATAGTGAAAAACGGAAGAAGTTGAGATCCCAAAGCTGACGACCTCGAGAGAAATAAAGAAAGAGGGAAGGTTGGCCTCTGGATTTGAACATGTAAGTCACTTTTGTTGTCCAATTGGGTTGCAGCTATCCAAACTGCTCTCACCCAGCTCTGAGCTAAACCAACTTTCCGGCTTTGTGGTGAGGCCATGCGTGGCTCGAGATGAGATGAGTGAACCAATTTTGATTTCTTCTTCTTTTGAATTCAATTGCTTCATCAAAAACTCATTCAACGTCTCCTTTTCATGCCTTGTACTGAGTATATCATATTTGAATTATAACCCAGGTCAACCATGCAATGTTTAATGTTAACAACAACAACCAATAAAATTAATTAAAAACTTTTGTCAAAATTGAACAAAGCATCCGTATCAATCACCATTTAATGTATAAATATAATTTTTTTACATGGGAAGATGCATTCTTCTCAACGCACACTCCATGAGAAGCTAAGCATGAGAGTCATCCTGACTTTTATATATATATATATATATATATATATATATATATTCTTTCTAGCTACTAAATTTATGAAAGAGTATATGCCCTTTGGAAGGTCCTTCCTTTCTCTCCGGTCTAGCTCTCCTCTTTTTGGGTTTTCTTCTAAGTATTTATTAGGAGACAAAAAATAATTACAGACAAGATCTTATAATTATGACCCGAGATAGTATTAACTATAAATGATTCTCTCAGGATTTTTGACTGTTAATCAATCGAATACAATAAGTTCACTAACTTCAACGTTCATTTGGCATGGCACTGCACCTTCCTCTCATTTTCTCTCCAACCTAACAAACCTCATCCTCTAAGATCCATTATTCTAAATGTGAATATCGACTATTATATATTTTGTGCCCACGAGAATGAACAGCCGAGAAAGACGCTTCTTGACATATCGTCATCGTTGACGTCATCGCTCGTTGGCTACTGAAATTGTCGTTTGTCTGGAGCAGGTAGGTTTTTCTTATCGAGGAGAGCAGGACTCAGGTTAGTTTGAGGAATTTATGGAAGGAAGGAGACTGAGCCGCCCTCACATCCATGGCTGCAGCGCGTTTTTATTTCCTTTTTCTTATGCAGAGATATATAAATGGGAAGAGCTAGCTAGCCTTCGATTACGTTGATGGGTAACACGTGACATGTTCCTTTTTTTTCAAATAGTCATTTATATATAATCCATGAAAGGAATATAATGGGTGAAATCCCTTTTTTTCCCCCCCCCCTCTCTCTCTCTCTCACGCAAACTGATAGCACTATATATAAAGCTAGGAATAGTCATAATTATTGGAAATAAACTAAATGGAAATGTGACATTTTGTACGTACACATGGGTTGTGGCCAGTTATATAATGTTGTCTTTTCTAGTTAATTTCAGCAGCACATGTCTTTGTAAAATTTGAACTGGCAAAAAACAGATAACTAGGGTTTTTCGCCATATAGTCCAACGACTGAAGTAACAGGAAGGCTGGTTGTGTCATATCCAATGTCATGGCCACTTGAGTCTCTTGTGATATGTTTATTTGTTGTTTGTGTGTGCTCATGTGGCCGCACTTGCACTTGCACTTGGGATGATGATGATGGGGAGGAACATACATAATTGAAGGGAGCACGTGGCGGAAATCTGAAAGTGTTGGGACGAATATTCAGAGTCAATCCCCAGACAAGAAGTAAAGCTTGTCCACTTTGTCTGTCCTTGTGAAAAGAAAGAGTTGCGCATCGCAAGCAGGACCGGTGGAGTTTTTTTGGCGACGACAAAATGAAAAGCCAGCCTCCCTCTCTCATATTTTCCTTCCTATATCCATCGCCCGTCCGCTTCATAAAGCTTGTTCAGCATCAGTGGCCCTCAATGCCCCATCTGCTATATACATATATATGTGTATGTATATGTATGGCCATTCTTGCTGCTGGCTGCCACCTTAATTTAATTTCCACTATCTGAAATCGCAAGATATGAAACAAACCACGACGTACGGAATAATTAGACTTGGATGTTATCATAACCAGAGAACAATTTTTTCCAAAACAGAAAGTCTGAGATGCCTACGTAGTTGGCGGTTATTGGTTAACAAGAGACGTGGGTGCTATGATTTGAGGAGTTGGTGGAGTGTTTGAAAGGTCAAAGCAGCTTGAAGGGGGGACTTCAAAAGCATTGCCCTGCTACACTACTTGTCGTGATGAGTTGGAGAGGGCGAGGCATATATTAAATAGTAGGATATCTAGTCTTTAATATAATAATTAATTAATTAATTTAAATAAATTAAAAAATTTTGTTAAATTAATTATTTATAATAAATAAGTATTGTCTTTTCTAAAATACTAAAACAAGCATTTGATAAAATTTTAACATGTGTAATTACTACAATAAAAATTTTTTTAAAAATAAATTAAAATTTGAATTAAAAATTAACCAAATTCTTATATTAAAAATTAGAATTAAAATTAATAGTAACACATTAGTGGTCATCTCTGGCACTAAAAAGAGAGGCACATGGTGCGCAAACCCGAGGGTCGAACGCGTGGCACTTCCCCGCATGTGCCCGTGGGGACCACCCTTAGGACCCTCTCGCCACGCGTAGCTCTCCTATTCACTCTTCTTCTTCTTCCCCACCCCATCACCACCACGTGCCCCGGCCCCTTCCCGTCATCCCACCCCCGCCAAAACCACCCCATCAATGAGTGCCCCTTAAAACTACACGCCGTTTTAAGTCGCCCCTGATTAAAAACGAGAGAAAAAGATGCGCATTGTTTGCGTCGAAGACTGGTATAACGTGAAGAATTAACGAATGGGGTAAAAGTTTTGTCTTCCCCCATAAAGAAGCTAAAAGACCCTCTTTCGCAAAAGAAGCAAGATAGAAAGTCTGGCTGCCTCCCTGCAACTACGGTATAATGGACATTACATGCATGGAGGCTGGATTCAACGAACCACTGCAGAAAGCTATCGACAGAGAACTGAATTTTGTCAACTGTGTCAGGAGGTAAGCACAACTGATTGGGTCAGATCTTTTGTGTGTACATTATCCGCACACTTATTGCTATGTCCTACCCGTCGCTTTCATTCCAAAAGTGATCCGGAAAGCATTCGTATTTGGCACATACATCTATTATGGTGTTCTGTTTTCCGCCACTTGCGAGTGCAATTTAGGATTATCGTTACCATGACTTGTGTCCGGTAGACTCATTCTTGTTATTTCAAGTAAAATAAGATAAGCTCGCCCCAGTTATGCTCCTTCGACTTTACTATGGTAAGGTTACCTTGATTAAAGAACTGACAAAGTAGGTTGCAAGAGGATAAGGATGAAGCTATATGGCTGGGGGAGAGAGACGGAGAGAGATTCTCTCTTAAGTTACGAGCTGGCAGGTTAAGTCAATGTGTGCCCTAAACTGTGTGTGTTTTTTAATCAAGGAGGGGAAATTAAGAAATGGGTAAAGGAGGTGCGCGTGACACGGAAGGGATTCCTTTGGGTTATGCTTTTGAGTTGGTCCATCAGCTCTGATAACCTTAATTTTGATTAAACAAATCAACTAAGGGCCTTAAACAAATGGTTGTCATCTCTGTCCCGACACCTCCACCCCTTGCTTCCCATCTTCCAACTTTCGCTTTAGTTTGCTGATTATGGCACTCATCAAGAATTTCAGTCACACCCCCAACCTGGCTAATCAAAAGCATTTACTTGGTTATGGAATTTAATATCACAATCCTCCATATTTATTAGATCCACCCTCCCCCAGCATGTGGGATATCGAATTAAATCTAATCATACTTACCATTCTGATTTTATTCCCACTTCTTTCTGATAAAGAAACATGCGTGAGTGTGGTCCCTTTTATGAATATATATATATATATATATATATATATGACCAGAGTGCTAGTTGATTAGCTATGTATTTGGCCTTGCGGCCGAAATTCAAAGACGACGACTCAACCATGTGTGTGTACTCTTTTTATGAGCAGCCTTTTATGAAAACTTGATCCTCAGCCTTGAATAGAGACATATCATGATGTTTTAAGTAAATCTGGACCAAAAGAATCCCTAGCTAGCTAGCACTTCCCCGTACCCTGCTTCAATTTCTGTCAAGTACTTGTGTGCATTATTGTTAGATTGGTTGATGAACGATAATCATTGATCAGGGACGACGTCCCCCTCCGATCTTTGCAATTTTTCATTCTGGTCTTTTGTTTTGTAGAAT